CCACATAAGCACCTTGTTCATCCACTCACGTGATGGCGATTGAGCCACATGCTGAAACAATCCCCTGTCCAGCGCCAATGTTGTCGAACCACGCATTCGATTCCCAGACTGCCCATGTTTCCCTGCCTCGAACGCGTTTCTTGTCAGCCAACCCGTTCAAGACTCCACATTGTGTTCGTCATTCCCTTTATGTAATTTGTTTTGTATGATGTAAAGCTGCATCTTCACATCGACAGAAAAATACTGGAGGGAAAAGGGGGCAGGAGGAGGGGTCGGAAAAGGGATGAGGAAGGGCGGAACGGGGGAGGAAACAGAGAAGGAAATGGGAGGACGAGGAATGGAGAGAGGAAGAGGGGCATAATGAGTGGCGCGACGAGGAGGAGTTGTGACAAAGACAACGGAGGACGGAGGTTTAAACTGAAAAAAAGGGGAATCTGACAAGGGCAAGCCGTAGCCTCATCTGTATCCTTCCTCCCTCCTCCCCCTGTTTCGTTCTCCTCCTCCGCCTCCTCCTCCTCCGTCCTCCCTCCTCATTCCTCCTCCTCCTTCTCCCACTTTTCCTCCTCCCCCTTCAGACCACACGCCACTCCCAGCACAGAGCTCCTTGCCAGGGTGGCTCTGCGCCTCCATTGACATGGTGGCGAACGTGACCTGGCATCATGGGCAACCTCACGCTTCTTATCTTCTTCCTCCAAATCCTCCTCAAGAGCTCCCTCATCTTATTAGTCCCCTCCCCCTTCCCCATCCGCCTTCACCTCTTCGTCCACCTTTTCTTTTTCGGCGCGAATCGCCCCTCCCCGGGTTGATGGCTGACTGAACTACATGTTGTAAGCTTGTCCGAGCGTTGCTATTGCCATGTCTAATGCAGTTACTTCCATGCGACACATGCAGATGACGCCGCCTCCACGTGCATCACCCTGGCGCCCAATATCTGCCGCCCTCCCGGATGCACCCCGTAAAAGACTGCAGCTGCTGCAACACTGGCGCTCGCAGAGCCGCCGTCGCTGAAAATTTGCACGCCAATGGCTCTGGACAGCATATTCGGCAAGCCCTGTGCGTCGAGCGTGTCGTAGCTGCGCTTGTAGGTCAGGCCGCAATTGGCCGCGTGGTCGGCCGCTGGGGCGTTGGGTGGGGCTCCCCATGGGGCCACGAAGCGTGTGAGGGGTGTGCCGAAGTGTGCGGCGGGGGCGCATGTGGCCGCAGCCACTGGGGCCGTATAGGTGGAGCTCCCTATGGGATCAAGAAAACGTGTGAGTAGGGGGGGGCAGAAATGTACGGCGAGGACGCATGTGGCGCAGCCACTGGCGCCTTGAGTCCAGCTCCCTACGGGGCCACGAAACGTGTGAGGGGTGTGCCGAAGTGTGCGGCGGGGGGCGAATGTGGCTGCCGCCATTTGGGCCGCATGTGCAGCTCCCCCTGGGACCACGAAGCGTGTGAGGGGTGTGCCAAAGTGAGTAGCGGGGGCGCATGTGGCAGCTGCCACTGGGGCCTGAGGTGGAGCTCCCTATGGTGAGATGAAACGTTCGCGGCGGGGACGCCTGTGGCCGCAGCCACGGTGGCCTTCAGAGGAGCCAACTATGGGGCCACGGACCTTGTGAGGAGTGTGCCGAAGTGTGCGGCGGGAACGCCTGTGGCCGCAGCCACTGAGGCCTTGGGTGGAGCGCCCTATGAGGCCACGCAGCGTGTGAGGAGTGTGCCGGAATGTGGTGCGGGGACGCATGCGGCCGCAGCCACTGAGGCCTAGGGTGGGACGCCACGAAACGTGCGAGGGGTGTGCCGAAACAAAGTATGCGGAGGGCTGAAGCAGGGATGGGAGCGGGAGGAGGGAGGAGGGGGAGGAGGGCGGAAAGAGGAGAGGCGCGGGGCGTTGTTTCTGCCAAACAAGGACCCATCACCACAGGATGCTTCGGAACAAATAATACGCAGCAGCTGCAACCGCTGACAGCACAGAGTTGCAGCTCAAAGCAACGGTTGCAGCACCGCGAATTCCGCTGAACTCGTGGCCCCGGCCAAACCCCATCTGTTTATGCAGTGCGCGGCTCGTAGACACGGCATAACGCTGATATGATTAAGTATGTCTTTACATGCGCAGCCATGCTGTAGCCTCAACATCCACAACGTCCGACAGGCCAGTCTAAACGATCAGCGACTAATTAATGTGTAGGTCGCAATACCAGGCATCTTGAAACTTCGCAGTGCATGTTGAAATGGCCTTGACCGCTATAGCTCAGCCAGTCGATCTGAATCGCTCTAAATTCCAACATCCACCTAAGCATTGCTCAGGCGCCATCCATCCCTGTGTCAATCCTCGTGTTCCTCCTCCTACTCCTACTCCTACTCCTACTCCTACTCCTACTCCTACTCCTACTCCTACTCCTACTCCTATTCCTCCTACTCCTATTCCTCCTCCTCCTCCTCCTCCTCCTCCTCCTCCTCCTCCTCCTCCTCCTCCTCCTCCTCCTCCTCCTCTTCCTCCTCCATGGACACAGGGGTGAAGGTG